ACAAAATTAATGTATATCTATAATCATATAATTTATAATATTTTTATATTTTTTCATAGAGCTCTTACAAAAATATTATCTCTATATAAGAAAATTAGATTTATTAAACACTTTAAATTAAAACGTGTAATGTTTCAACTAATGCTTTAAAACCCATATCATGATTGACTTAGTAAAATTATTGGGTCACTGGATTACTGGTCGGACCAGTGGGTCACTGGTCAGACCGCATGGCTTTTGACCCGGTTTCTATAAAAAATATATTCATTACTTGAAATTTGTAACTATAATAATATAGAAAATTATAAATTCAAATAATTTAGAATAAACAAAAGTATTAGTAACAATCAAAATAACTGATAGAAACTTAATGTAACAAATTATAAATTCAAAGAAGTGATAGAAACTTAACAATTCATAAGTTATAGTATTATAATAAGTCATAAAAATTCATACTCAACGATCCATAATTTTTTATGTCCATGAAGTTAAATTGTCATAATCTTGATATTCATATCCATCTTCAACTTCATTGTCTTCTCCACCAACTTCATCTTCTCTGGTGTTGATTTTTTCTTGATTCACAGTATCAACAATAGTATCTTGTGCATTACCCATATCTCTATCTTCATTCTCATCTAAATCTATTTGATCTATAACAATATTTTAAAAAATAATTAACAAAAAAATTTTAGTGATGGTAAATATGAGACATTAAATTGATTCACAACCACAAACTATATTATGATCATATTAGAACATACCAATATCATTTGAAATTGGTTGGATGATCATATTTGCAAGGTCATTCTGCAATACTTCCAACTCTTCATTGGTTAAGAGAGGTGGTGAATCCTCTAATACCCAACTAGAATGGTCAGTAATTGTTTCAATATTGATAGGATCATAACTCCCATTTCTTATTTTCCTAAGTACACATGAATTAAATCTAAGTATATGTATTTAAATATAAAAATATAATGATCAGAGAAAAATAACCATAATAATACCTATTTTGAAGTCTCAAGTTGTAACGATCAAACACTAAATCATTAAGCTTTTGATGCTTCAATCTATTTCTTTTTTTGGAATGAATATGCTCAAATATACTCCAATTGCATTCACAACCCGAAGCACTACAAGTTTGGCTTAAAATATGAATAACTAACCTTTGCAAAGTTGGTGTACAAGTGCCATAAGTTTCTCACCATTGATCTGTTTATACCATGTGATTAAATAAATTTATAAACATATTGAAATATAAAATAAAATATATATCAAGAGTTAGAAGTTATGAAATTACCTGCCCTCATAATGCATCGTTCATCCACGGTTGATTTCCTTCCAAAATCTAATTCACCGTCTTTGAATATTCTCATCTCATCTGTTAACTTCAATCGAAGTTCAGAATTTCCGTTAGCGTGTTTTTCAATGACATCTAAAAGTCCTGATGTTGTGGATGCATGTTTTTCAAATTCTACATCATTATATCTATAAGTTGGATTCAACCAATAACCGACAGCATGAAGATTTTTGCGGAGCTGTGAATCCCAACGTTTATCTAAGATTTTCAAGTAAGGATCCACTTTCTTCTTATTTCTTTGAAACCTCCTCACCATCTCCTCTCTAGCTTTGACTATAGATTTGTATAGAATGCCCATAGCAGGTTTATCTTCACTATCAACAATACGCAACACACACACAAGTGGTTCAGTGAGTTTAACTACATCAGCATATTTACTCCAAAATCCAGAATCTAAAACTTGATCCACAAACTGTTTTGCCTTTGCTTCTTTGGCATATGCTGAGCTTGTCCATTCTTTAGACATTACCATGGCTCTTAGTGAGTTTTTGTGAGACAAAATACTTTGCAAAGCAGTGAAATTAGTGGCAAATCGAGTTGGAGCAGGACAAAGGATTTCTCTTTCACCTGTTTGCTTTCTCATTAAATACAATACATAACAATGGTTATAAATATATTTGGTAACATTAGAAGCATGTGAAACTGTCTCACTTACTTCCTCTAATTTTCTCATGTCTTACAACATCAAGTTAATGCAATGTGCCGCATAAGGAGACCAAAATAAAGTAGGAAATTCATTTTCTAATAACCTTTCAGCAGCAACATAATTTGCAGCATTATCTGTCACTATGCGAACTACATTTTCAGGCCCAACATATAAAACCACCTCTCTAAAAAGCTTATACAACATATCTGCAGTTTTTGAAGCATGAGAAGCATCAACGGATTTTAGAAAATTAGTACCTTTGGAACAATAAACTAGAAAGTTTATAAGAGTTCTTCTTTTTCGATCAGTCCATCCATCGGCCATTAGAGTACAACCAGTTTTCTTCCAAATCTCATGATACTCCTCTATCAATTTGTTCACATCTTCAACCCATTTATTTAACAAATAGCCACGAAGACTATGCATAGTTGGAACTTTATATCCCAGACTCATGCTGCAAAGTGCATCAACCATATATTGAAAATACGCAAAATTAGTTGCATTGAATGGCACAGAAGAATCAATGAACCATCTTGCAATAGCTAGATCACACTTCTCCACCAATTCCTTACTTTGTAACACACTTTTTAAAGAAGGTTGAGCTCCAGGAGTTGTTCTAGGCATAAAATAATTACCAATGCGACTAGTATTCTTTCTCTTTTGAGACACAATCACCGAATTTAATCTTGATTGTTCTACATCCATTTCTACTACACCACCCTCTTGAGTAGTAAGATCAACATCAAAATTTTGTGCTTGGGTCTTTCTTCTCTTATTTGCACCTTCATCAAGATTTTGTTTCATTTGATATTGAACATCTGGAGGCACCTTTTTACATGTTTAAATTTGACCTTTTATTCCAACCAAATGGAATTTGAACCTATTAATCCCCCCTCCTCTAATAATTTATTCACATCTTCAACCCATTTATTTAACAAATAGCCACGAAGACTATGCATAGTTAGAATTTTATATCCCAGACTCATGCTGCAAAGTGCATCAGCCATATATTGAAAATACGCAGAATTAGCTGCATTGAATGGCACAGAAGAATCAATGAACCATCTTGCAATAGCTAGATCACACTTCTCCACCAATTCCTTACTTTGTAACACACTTTTTAAAGAAGGTTGAGCTCCAGGAGTTGTTCTAGGCATAAATAATTATCAATACGACTAGTATTCTTTCTCTTTTGAGACACAATCACCGAATTTGATATTGATTGTTCTACATCCATTTCTACTACACCACCCTCTTGAGTAGTAAGATCAACATCAAAATTTTGTGCTTGAGTCTTTCTTCTCTTATTTGCACCTTCATCAAAATTTTGTTTCATTTGATATTGAACATCTGGAGGCACCTTTTTACATGTTTAAATTTGACCTTTTATTCCAGCCAAATGGAATTTGAACCTATTAATCCCCCCTCCTCTAATAATTTTATCACAGTAAATACACAAATTAACAAATTTTCCTTTCTCTTCAATTTGTTTACAATGACCCCGAGTTATATCAGTTTTTCCCCTACTGCTCTGGAGTTGGGTTGGATTTTGAGATGTAACTTCTTCCGAAGTTATTACTTCAGCGGGTGATGCCATATCTAATATCAATCAAAATTTAAAAATACAAAACTATATTACAAAATATTAACAAAACACAATTCTAAACAAAAATTATTGAATTTACAAAAACATTATAAGAAACATTAAATATGTAGCATATCTAAATCCAAAATATATGAATATGTTATTGTATATTACATATAGACTACCAAACATCGTTACTGTGCATCACCATATATAATAAAAAAATAGAAACTTTGCTTTTCAGTCTTTGCTATATATTTTAGATTAATAAAATCCTGAAACTTTTCTTTGTTATATAATTTAAATTAATAAAAAATAAAAAATTTTGTCTTACTATATAATTTAGATTACATAGTTTTAAACCCAATTTCTATCTCCATAATATATACAACGACTATTACAGTAATATATATATATATATATATATATATATATATATATATATATATATATATATATATATATATATATATATATATATATATATATATATATATATATATATATATATATCCCAATTTTTATCTCCAATATACAACAACTTCATTACCGGTCTATAATAAGTTAATTCATAAAAGTATAAAACAGTTTCATTCATACAAATCCTATCTCAATTTGTTAAACTAAAATACCCAATTTTATAGAAAATGATCAAATTTAATCATCTATTTTCTATATCAATTAATCAATAAAATGAAACAATAATATTCATATTGAAAAACATCAATGCAAATTAGACCAAGTAAAAAAGAAATAACCTGTTTTTGATGTTTTGATGAAATTTTTGACGGCAAACAAGTCAGCAGCAAGTGGGAGTTTTTGTTGGTAGAGAAAATTTAGAATATAATTTCAATTAGAAAAAGAAAAGACAGAATAAAAAAAAACTTTTCAAATGCCTAGGTTTGAGAAACGAGAAAGCAAAATGTTTATGTTAATTTTTTTTTCAAAAATCCTAAAAAATAAAATAAATAGTCAAACCTGCCGGTTCAGTAAAAACCGTCGGTTCACTGATTTAACCGGTGATCTGGCTGGTTCACACCGGTTTCATCCGATTTAAATGAAATTCCGATCTTATCCTTTAATCGGACTGTCTGACCCACTGATTCTCGTTCAGACCGGTCCAATTGACCAGGTCGGACTGGATTTTAAAACACTGGTTTCAACTATCAAGAAATTTATGATTGTTTGGTCAAATTAAATGACATTAATGTAACTTACATCTAGATTAAAACATCAAAACCTATAATATTTTTCAGCAATATATAAAATAAAAATAAAAAAAGAATGAAAAATGATTTAGCCATTACGTAACTGTCCCAAACGGTTACAACGCATACGAAACGTCAAAAACTACCCTGTACACTGATTCGCTCAGAATCACTGATTTAGCCACTTTGCTTTTCTCTTTACACAGTTCTGTAAATCAAACGACTCCGATTTCCGTCGTCCACGTGAACTGATTGATTCAGGCTAAACATTGTACTTTCTTCTCTCGCTCGCTTCTTACCTATCACCACCCCAAACAGCTTCGGGTAATTATCCTCCACCACCATCTCCGCCGCGTCTTTGCCATCGCACCGCTTCTCCGGCAATGGATGAAGCGTCTTCGGTGCCATGGAGCAAGAATCTTTTCCTTGTGCACCGCTTTCCGCTTGAAACTTGGCATAGTTAGACATAAGATTGAATATATTATTGAAGAGGGATTTCATGTCCTCTATTTCCTTCTTTAACTTCATGTTCTCCTTTCTAAGCCTCTCGTTTTCTTCTAATAGCGTCGCCTGCTCAAACGGCGATGAATCCGAAGAAATCACCTGCTCCTCTCCCGATATTGACGGTGATACAATCGGCTTTGCAGAATGCAAAGGAGATGACACCACCGCTACTGTCGCGGTTGCACTGCCATTGGTAACCGCCGACGGCGATTTTGAAAGGATCTTCCGTCGCTGAATATCACATAGAAGGCGTTTCTCACCTCTTCGAAAGAATTCGTTAGAGAATTCCCACCGATCAGGCACAACTTTTTTAAATCCCTAAACATCAACCAAAACCAACACAAATTAAAAAATAAATTCAAATCCAAAAATGAAAAAAATTAACCAAACTACAATGATGATAGAAGAATTACATAAGTATTGAGTTGCCGAACGAAGCTGGAGAAGTTATTGTGCTTGAAATACTTAGGAAGCAAATCCCTCGCGAAAACGGTAGGGTTCCAAACGACGAACGATGTTCCAGTATCATTCCACGAAACGACGTCGTCGATGGCGCGGTCGTCGACGATCTGGTATGTCTTGGAGATAAACGGCGTCGGAGTTAGCCGTTGAGAGTCGCCGGTTGAGGAGTCGCCATTGTGTTCCACCGATGGAGCCATAGAGAGAGAGAATCTAGCACGAGAGACGCAATTATTATTTTTTATCGTGATAGGTCTAGACTCTAGAAGGTTCGCAAGGAGGTACAGAAGAGAATAAATAGAAGAATTATTGAAATATTAATGGAAGAAGAAGAAGAAACTAGAAGCATTATTAGGTTACGTATTTTTCTCGCCAAACATCTTTTCTGTGGGGACACTTTACTGGATTTTGAGTTAACATAAAGATATAGAAGAAACTTCTACACTTCTTATCACTTTAAGAAACAAACAAAATAGAAAAATATCTAACCGATTCAAACATTCCACAGACAAAATAATTTAAAATTTAGATTTAGAAAATGCAAATAAAGAACAATGAATTTCTTATTTTCTTCTCATGTTTCTAGAAAAGACGGTTAACATTTTACACAGCACAGCATCGAAATTCTAAAATAATTCTTTTAATTTTGTAAGTTGTTTATAAGTTAGAAGCTTCTCGCAAGAACTTAAAAACATTTCATATTAATATTTTTAATTCATGTTTATGACAACTATTTAAATTTAAAATTTGTAAATATTTTTTAAAATTATTTTGACTCAATGTATTTTGACATTAATTGTTAAACACTATTAATGAGAAATGTTTTACACTCTCAATTTATCATAATTAATTATTTGTATTACTTAATCAATGGATAAAATAAAAATTAAATATTTTATCATGCAACAATGTTCAAGAAAAAATTGTATAAATATAATGCAAAAAATATTTTAAAAATATAGAGCCTTAGACACTGATTTTATTGGACGTATCAATTTGTTTAGTGTGAAATTTGATAAATAACTATCAAATTTTTTAAAATATGATAATTCTGATTACTTACAAGATCGATTAAATTAATTCTAAGACTATAGTTTGTATTAATTTTTTAATAGATTTTTCTATATATTAGTCTATTCGACAATAAAAGTAAAATCGAAGATAAATGACGAATGAAACAACGAAATCAACGAATGAAAATGAAAAGGAAATAAAGGTTTCGACTAAAAATCTAAAGAAGTTGTAAATAATTTTTAAACATAAATTTGCATTGAATGATAAAAGTAGTGTTTCATACGTATATTCTCATAAACTCGTTTCTTGATTAACTTTGATACTTTGAGCGAATAGAGTAATTTGTACAATAATTTAACACACAGAATCCTAAAACTAAAGAATCATATTAATACTAATTCGATACGAACGGTCTTCTCATCAGAAGAGGACACGTTCTCGCTTGCATGTTCGCGGGCTTCCACGTGTGCCTTTTCAAAAAGAAACATGTAAACGGCAAATTCATTTCTTCAGCCTTATTTCAAATTATCCTTGTCGAACCCGCTTAAAACATCTTTCAAATGCTAAGCCTCGATTTCATACTATTTTGTCAAAAACTCTGGTCGAAAAGACCATCATTTGCTTCTATCGAAGCATTTTCTCAACACTCTTGATTTCTTTTCAAAAAAGTTGATGTTTTCATTTAATCTTTGAGCGTTGAATTTCCAGCCAACAAATTGCCCTCCCCCTAAAAAAAAACATCTTTTTCAACTATGATGAGAAAAGGGCATTTTTTGAAAGCCTTCGACGCGTCAACAATTGCTGATGTGACGTCATGGTCACGATGACCACTTTTCATAAACGTCTCATCGAGACGTGCATTGCGGCTAGCATCATTATCCCTAGAAATTAAGAGTGTGGAGGTAACTTGTATAGAAGTAATCGCTTATACATCCTCTTAGAACATTACACGTGTCCCACTAACTCCTTTATTCATCTTCCAAAGTGAAACTGAAATGTTTTTCTTCCTTCCTATAAATACCATCATCTTTTTATTTCAAAACTTTTCCAACTTTTTGCATTCTAAAAACTTGCGTTCTTGAGTTTCTTCTTCACAACCTTCACAAAATCTTCATCCTCTAAGCTTCCATCTTCAAAAATGGCGTCCAAAGTCAAAGTATCCAAGCAACCAAAAGAAGTTTCCATCCCAATCACCAAGATAGTAACACCGCTGCTAGCAGGAAATCAGGAATGTGTCCTTGAGCCCCATCTTCTTGAGGAAAACACAAAATTCATGAATCTCAGGTACTTGTTCCTCTAACAATTTTTGGTGAAACACATGCATACATGAGTCCTTTGCCTGACCCTAATACAGATGTAGAAAAAATAAAAGAGTTTTCCCCTGTTCACCATCGTATTAAACCCTTAGCTAGTAAACAAAAGCCTAATGATAAAGATAATAGAAAACTTAATACCCAAAAATTTACAAATAATCAAGCGAAGTCTTTGACTGACACTTTGAAAGCAGAAGATAAGATCAATCTAGATTATATGAGCAATGCTCTTAAAGTATTTCGCTCCTACCCTCTAATGAAAGACCCAGAATCATATATTTTTTGGTTTGCTAAGGTTGAAAGTCAAAAAAGTCAATTCTAGAAAGATATGGAGAATTACGACATGATTCAGCTATCGAAATCTAGTTCTGGGTATAGCCAAAGCATGTTAGTTGCTTCATTATATTTTTGGGATTCTACGCACAATACTTTCTATTTCCCTTATGGAATGATGACCCCAACTTTATTCAATGTCGCTGTTATCACTTGTCTTTGACCTATTGGGGAAACCTTCTGCCCCTTTGAGATGGATGAAGATACTATTGACTTTGCCAAAGGTAAACTTACTTTTACCAATTATATAGCTGACCATCACGACAAAACCACTTAAGAAGTTTCTGACGAAGAAAATATTTCCTTCTTGGCATTATGGTTATCACATTATGTCTTTTGCTCGGGCTCTCTTCAAGTAATGAAGAGATATCTCATCACGGAGAACCAAATTCATGATGGGCATAGGTTGTGTTTGAGCCAAATTATTTTAGGTTCCCTCTATGAATCGTAAGGAGAATCACTACAAGGAAAAATCTAATTTTCTAGGGGATAAACCCCTCAAAAATGGTAAATAAACCCTCACAATATGAAAATTGCGAGGGGAGTGGTCCCCTAGCAAAACAAGGGGTCACAAATTTATTTGGGAGGGGTTTTACACGTCGCTATTTTGCTTGGGGCTTACCCCCTCGCAAAATGCAATTTCATTTTTATAGCCTGCAACATGCAGAAGTAAGCGCAGCCTAGGTGGTCAACTGTTGTTGTAGTGCGTCCGAACTTTTGTTGGGGTTGAGCCCCTGGTAAAATGTAAATGCTTTTCTACTTGCTAGGGGTTAAGCCCCTGGCAAAATGCAGATGTTGACATTTTCCTTGAAATTTATCCGGTGGCAAATTGTAAAAAGATTTATAAAAAAATAATAATATTAATAGAACAAAAACCAATAATGATAATATAATAATTTTAATAATTTTAATAGAATTAATATAATAAATATAATTAAACATAATAAATATAATAATTAAAATTCAATCAAACATAATAATTAAAATAAAACTTCATGCAAATTACAATAAAGTTATTAAATTCAAAATAGTTGACATAAATTCTTTCATACAAATTAAAATAAACATCAAGTTTTCAAATTTAATTATTCTATTCTTGCTCATCTTGTTCTCCTTTATCTTCTTCTTCAACAATTCCCCCATATCCACTAGTTCCTCCAAATCCACCACAGGAATTTCGTGAAGCAAAAAATTGATCAAATCTTTGAATCCGCTCATTTGTAATCTGCATTGCTTCTTCTATTCCTGTGATTTCCTCCTCATTTCTTCCTGCAACTCTGTTTCTCTTCTCTGCACTTCTTGTTGCATCTCTAATTGTTTTTTCTTCATATCTTCAATTTATGTATTTCTTGTTGCTACTTGGAGTGCTGCCTTAATATTCACCAAGTTTCTCATAGTTTGAAGCATTTTGGCGGTTAATATAGGTTTAGTTTATGTTCCCTCTCCATCAACAAGTCTCATTATGAAACTCTTATCACGCCGCTTGATAGTTTTGGTGTACCCTTCAGTACCATACACTCTCCCATTTTTCTTCTTTCCACCTGAGACATCATACCATGTCTGAAAACCCACACTAGGATCAAAAGGATATCGCGATGGTGGTCCAGGTAATTCATGATGCTTTGACAACTTTAGGGAAAGTTGTCTATCAAACTCCTCCTGCAAAAAAAATTAAATGTTATAATGATTCAAATAATATAGGTACATATAAAATAAATATTTTTTTTATATAAGAAAAACTTACTTGAGTGTTTCTTGCGCGCTCGTGAACAAACTCTCCATTTCTCTTAAGATGAGTCTCCATATGGAGCTCATTAAGAAGTGGAATTCTAACCAACTCTTCACGCTAATTAAATAAGTAAAAAATAATTAGTTATACGTAATCTAAAATCTAAATGATAAATTAATTAAAAAATAAATAAATTTATGCATCATCCTTCGTGTAACTTCAGCAACACTAATACTACTCGCTGCGTAGTTGCAGCCACCAGCTTCATATGCTCTATTTTTCTTTGCCTTTTCAGATATTTTCTTAAAAAATTTCTGAACTCCAATGGGAAATAAGCTCTTGAAATAATTCTACTCCTATCCAACGTGGGTGTTGCTTTTTTCCCCATTTAATTCTAACATTCCTCATGGGGTCAGAAAATCGGGCACTACATTTTGAGTGAAAATTTTCTTCAATTTGGACTTCATCTCTAACATCCCAATAACATTTCTCCTGCATTGTTGTATGAATTCAAAATTAAGCAATAAAGAATCATGAATATCTCAAAAAATATAAAGGAAATTCCTCAATGAGTAAGTCAATTATACCTTAAATGCATTAAACCAATCTTTCCTGTCATCTTCAAGTACAACTCCATAACTCGGTCAAAGTTTTGTATACTTCTCTTTAATAATGCCTATTATGATCGATACTGCTTGATGAGGAAAGATCCTAAACACCAAAATCTTGAGTTAGAATTGATTAAATAAAACTCAAATTTAAAATAATATAAAACATATATAAACACTTATGATCCATAATTGGGCCAAAT